CTCCTTTACCAAGAGCTTCCTCCTAAAAAAAAACCCAGGCGATATGAACTGTCAAACTCATGCCTCCTGACTAGATGGGACCCTAAAATAAGGTTCCCAGCAATTCCAACACTATGATTACGACTCAGTGACTTGTGCAAAGTCTGGGTTGGACACCTGGCCAGTATGGTAGTGATGGCCTACATGGACGTTACGGTCTTCTTTTATCAGTCCTATGCTAAGCGTGGAAATGATTTGAAGTCCTTATTCCTTCAGCAGCTATCGCCCAAGGTTGGAGGGTTTAGTCGGCACCAGCAACTACTGTAGGGTGTTGATTTACGGGGAAATTTCCTCGTCTCAAAGGTCGCCCCCGGTCGTCGTCATCGTCTCATGTGTGATCGCTATCTCACACGACAGCGACAACGACGGTACATGGGACAGACCCAACAGCGCTGGCGTCGACATGGTCATCGTCAGCTCGTTGTCCCACACGCTGTGAAGCCGTCCATCGCGATTTGTGCATACGCGCGCGCGACAAACGTCCGTACGCGACTAATTCGACGTGTCAAATTCTATTTGTAGCTGACATGGCCTTCTGGCTAGCCATCGATGATAGTTTTTGAACCAGCTACAGTAATCCTCATCGTACTCGGAGCTGACTGACATATAAGGTCGTGACCTGTTACACAGCCAACGCCGAGAGTGAGGAATGGGTGGAGGTTCGGGAGTTGCGTCATCGCCCATACGGGTGAGTGAAGAGGATTGCATTTCTTAATTGACGACTGATACTATCAGGCGAACTATTTGGAGGTCAACTAGTTGACATGTAAACAATCCTCTCTGAAACCCTACCCCTTGAATGATCCCACAGGACACAGCTTCTCCCCGTAATCCCTTATGGGAACCCGGATAGAGTGTAATCTTGTTTCGCATTGTTTGTAAACGACTAGAAACTATTCGCTCAAAACAGTGCCGTGCCGGTGACCAAATACGGTGTTCGAAACCTGTTCCCCGCGGCGCAGAGAATGTGCGCAGTGTGGAGAGCGCAGGCTCTCACGCGCTACCGTAACCCCCTTGACGAGGTGTAAACTAACAAGCGCGACGGGGTGTCATAATCTGCGCCATGAACATGTATCTGATAGGCGGCTGGTGAGTGAGAGTGATGGGCGACGGACGAAGGGATTGATAAGATAACAAACGACAAATGATAACGCGCGTTGATTGATAGTGATACGGAGCACGCGACCAGCTAGTTGGGTGTGGTCTTTGGAGGGCTATTTCTGACCAAGAAAACTCGCCTACCTGTCTTTTCTTTGGCTTCACCAACGGCCTATTTTGACCATTCATCTTGTGGTAGAGTCCGCAGGCGTTGCAGAGGTAGTGACCGGTGCCGTCCCGTCGCCAAAGTGGGGTGGCTTGTACGCCGCAATTCACGCATTCTCGTCCTTCAGCTGAAACTAAATCACCGTTCAGTGTCGGGTACTGCACGTTCTGCACATGCACATCACTTTCACATTCACAAGACATGCTCGTGCTGGCTGGCCATTGAAGAGGCGACCGTGCCGTGCTCACTATTACAACACCATCCCCGGATTGGCATTCAGGAACTTTCTCAAGCAACTGAAGTCTGGCACTGCCAGAAGTGCCAGGCATACATACTTCCTTGGGCAGCCAACAAAATAAGTTTTTTCGATACGAAGTTATACGATAATCGAATGGTCGTTTCTATCCTTACGAAAATAGAAGGCACAAGCACACAGACACACAACACCGCACCACAGCGCACCAAAACGTGCAGCGCATTACGCACATGCTGAGGTTCGGGCCTTACTCCGTGAGGCGAGCGTCGAATGTGCAGAGCCGTTCGAACTGGACGAACCGGAGGTGCTGGTGGAGCAGGCGACGCCGGCGCCAGCACCGGCGCCTGATGGCGCGGCTGAACCCGGAACTCGTGGTATCAATGGCGATGAGTAGTCGTACGTGGGATAGTTGAACGTGGAGCCATAGAACGAAGCATTCGCGGTGTTGTGACCTGAAATGGGTGGAGTCGAGTGGGATCAAACAGTGACAAGGTGAATTTTGCAGCTCCTACAACGCCGTGACGACGAGGAGCGCGTTCAAACCCACGCACAGCTAACCCAATACACATAGATCTGAGGCGAAGATAACGCTGTCCGATCGATTGAGTACATTCGGGGAAAAATCGAGCTGCACAATTCAAACTTCTAATGGGGACCATAAAATCTGCAGAAAATCACTCCTGAACTGACCAAGCATCGACGGATCCATCATCTGATTGAAG